AGGGGAGAGGATAGGAGTGGCTTCTAAATGGCTTGGCTCTCCTTCTATGTCATCACTAGTTATGCCATCCTTGAATTCTTCTCGATGTCCTATATAGGAATAAGGACGCTTTCTAAGAGATCCCTTCTTGAGAGGATTTGAATTATATTCACTCGAAGGTCTCTTATGAAGATGAGAATTTAATGTTCTCCCAAAATCAGCACCAAATAGGTCATCCTTGATTTCAACAGGGATTTCCAAAGGTGGAATTCCTTCTTCTCTTGGAGCATTTTGGGGTATTGGTGGTTTGGGATTAATAGCTAAATCTTGGGATGGAAGTGGTTGCGATTTGGCTATCAAAACTTCCTCTACTTGATTGGGAGATGATTTCTTCTCTTCCTCAAGGAGTTCATTATGAATGGTAGTGCAGGGAGTCTTTCCACTAATTCTATCAAGCATAGCCCTTGCTTCACTAGTAGACAAATGAAGGAAAGCTCCTCTAGAGGATGCATCAAGGGACTCTATAGAGTCCTTGCTAAGACCCATGTAAAAATATTGAAGAAGTATAGGGTCTTGAATGGCAAGGTTTGTGCCAGTGATGATGAGTTCATTAAAATGATCCCATGATGTACCAAGAGATTCTTCTTCTAGTTATCTAAAATTATAACCTCTTTTCGAAGGCTAACTATATTAGAGATGGGAAAGAAATATAAACAAAATTTAGAGCATAATATTTCCCAATCTCCTTGCATACTTCCTATGGTTTGACTATACCAATGTTTAGCCCTACCCATCAAAGAGAACGGAAACAACTTCCACCTTAAAGTCTTGTCAGACATGCCAGCGATACACAAGCATGCACAGGTCTGTTTAAACTCTTGTAGGTGTGAGTATGGGTTTTCATCGCCTTCTCCCGAGAAGGATTTATCCAGAATCAATTTTATACAACATGGGCACAGCTCATAGTCATGTGTTAGGATGGGCTCTGAATATTTTGGTGGCTCTAGGCTTATGCTCGTGGGTTTAGCATATTGATAGATAGGAGTGGAATCCATGCTAAACAAAAAAGTAAAAGATAAAAGGTTAAGCTAGTCTTGTAGTCAATTCAGCAACCGTTTCCTCGGCAACAGCGCCAGAAAACTTGTTGACACCTGTGGAGGCACACAGAGACAAAATCCACAAGCACATGGGTATCAAAGTAGTTTTCACCCGGAGTATTATCGAGTATCGTATCCACGGGGAAACATGTGTGTGTTGTCTAAAAACTAGTTTGTCCAGGGATAGCAATCAAGGTTTAAGTTATGAGTAGAGAGGATTCCTATGGTTATGACCCTATGCAAAGCAAGGCTTATGATTCTAATGTTCACTATGGGACGCTGCTTAGATGGTAAAGCACCGCTAATAGATAACTCTACCGATGCGACTACGGTCCTACTAATTTAAGAACCTGCTCAATTCGACGTGGACTACAAAGGATAGATGGGGCTGTCGCCTCCCGCTGCTACCACACAACGAAGAAGCAGGGAGCAAACATAGATAGCCGATAGCCTAAACACCATGCTTATGCTAACTATTACTACTCTAATCCAAAGTCCTAACAAGGACTAGAGCACTCAAAAGAAATGTGAACCCGTGAACAAAAGAGCACAAAACTTACTTTAAGCAGAAATCAATTACCAGAGGTATCTCAGATGTAGGCTTGGAGAAGCCTAGATTCGCCAAAGTACAAGCCGTAGAGGTAGCACTGATAGGTCGGTACCCCCTCCTAACTCCTCCCTCACTCTCTAACTCACTGTTTTCTAAGTACAAGACTAGATCCTATAGAGGACTAATTATCTCTTGAAAGCTGGCTCTGATCCTAACGAGGAGGATATGAATTAGGGTTTCAGGATGGCTCCAAGGAGGGGGGTACAAGGCTGTTTTTATAGGCTAGAGCGTCTAACATGATCCCTTGGATCAAACCGACTTAAAGGATGGCGTAGATGCAACCTAGGAGGCGGTGGGGAACCGACATTGCGACGCGGAGGCTGACAGGTGGGCCTAGGGGCCGGGTGGCCTATAGGTTGGGCCGGCTGGCTCCACATGGTAGCCACCTACCCTCTGCCTCGATGGTTTTCCATCTAGAGTCTTCTAGAGTATTCCCACGTTGGTTTCGCTGCGGATAAACGTGATTTGCTTTGACGAATAGGTCCCCCTTGACGGTTTTCTGGATAACCCTGCTGAAAACACAGATTCACAAAAACTCATGGAATTTATTAGTTTAAATCCCTATACCTATGTTTGGTGATGGAATTAAGTGTAAATACAGGTTATGTTGACGGTTTATAATTGATGTTAGTGACCGTCAACACACTCGTCATCGAAGACTAAGGCCTCGGAGAAGGACTACGTGTCGAGAAGATACCGGTGGCGAAGGCCTCAGAGATGAAGTCCTATGCATCGAGAAGATGCCGAAGGCGAGGGCCTCGGAGACGAATACCTACACATCGAGAAGGTTTTAGAAGCAAAGACTTGCGCATTGAGAAAAGCCAGTGAAACATGTCACAGAGGCAGCAGAATGAGCTAACTTTTGAAGATGAAGGCACTTGGAGCTAAAAGACTCGGGAATTAGAATGTGTATAGGTTAGAGTCATGCGTGTGCTCTTTTCTCCATGCCCTTTTCTCCCATGAGGTTTTTGGGATAGAGTATTTAGTGAGGTGCGCACAAATGAATTGAAAGGGCAATCCTTGCAACAAGGTTTTGAGTTGTATTGTGCCTCTTCTTGTATTATCATCAACTAGGTCCTATAGTACCGGCCATAACCTAGTAGCTGAGGGGCTATTGGAACGGGGGAGCCCATATGGAATATGGTCCAACTCTCCCTTGAAGAGGCCTAATAGGAGCTAGTGTAGAAGCTTGTGAAATCCTCCACCACTAAGGGGTCGCGTGTAAATTGTCGTTGCCTATATATAATGCCAAGAGCATGAGGGCACTGGGGCTCTCTCTCCTCTCCCACTCATTTTCACAAAATCTAGCCACCACCTCACTCTCCCATCTCATGTATTGGAGCGTTCGTCGTGGGGCCTTCTCCATGGAGCCTCCGCACCAGACCTTCGTTATGGAGCCTTCTCTGCGGAGCCTTCACATAGAACAATCATCGGGTCTTTGTCCAGGACCTTCATTCAGGACCTCCATCCGAGACCTTCGTCGGGAGGCCTTCTCCTGCCGGCCTTCACTAAGGAGCCTACTCTAGCTAGCCTTCACCAAGGAGCCTTCTACTCCCCCTAACTTGTTCGGGAACACAAGTTCCAACAACCACTACTACATAAATGGTTTTGAAACAACGCTATTTTTACCACTGGATTGGACAAAACTGCTAGTTATGATTTTCACAAATAGTACCAATTGGCGGCAAAAATGATTTTTCAATAATGGTTTGGTTCACCAACAGTGAAAATGACTAACAATAGATCTAGAGTTGTGATTCCTTATAGGGTGGGCGACAAACATAGCCAGCTCGTATGAATGTCGACACCTGATTGGAGCTTGTACGGGTGGAGCGGATGCATGGACCCACTACCCCTATGTGTCCGTTACTCCTCCTCTCTTTTTCTCTCCCTCTCTCTTCCTCCTTCACTACTCCTTTTCTTCCCAAGTCCCATGGAATGGGACAGGGAGCAACCACACGTGCGAGGAACCGGCACAACGGCCCCAAGTATGGTGAAACTTGGCTAGGTGGCCCTGCCATGGCTGCCACCTGCCTCCCCCCACCCCAACGGTGCCACTGGCCTGAGTGATGAGATCCTAACATATGTGTATGTTAAGCCTCGGGATCAATGGTTCCTGACCGAGAGACCCCCCGTCCGACCCTCCACGATCACCTGGGGGCTCGAGGGCTATAACCATCGGGTACCCTCAGACCAAGGAACCAGGCCGAGCGTGGACACACTCGCCGCCTCTACTCGGAGCTCGGAGGCTCGCTCGAGCCCCAAGCTCCCAACCAACGAGAGCGTGGACCCGTTCCTTGGCTCCCTCTCAGCCTTCAGCACCAGCCAAGGCCCAGGTGCAAGAAGACACACCCCGAGCCACCGAGGCTCGGGGGCTCACTAGCGCTGCCCCTTGGGGGCAGCTCTACCAGCCGCTCCCCCGATAGGGTCACGCACGGGACGTGACACAAGAAGACAAACTCTTCCATGGCCTCCAGGGGCTCGGGGGCTCCCGAGCACACACGATAGACCCTCGAGCCGGCCTCCTTTGCTGCCAAGAAGTCTCTAGAAGGCGCACCTAGGATAGACCCTCCAGCAAAGTCAATACAAAAGGAACATATCATCCATTTAGTTATAAATGACTTTAGGTGGAATGGTTAGGTGACCTATATGCAAAGTTATAGGTTCTAGGTTCAAATCCCACGCTCGCCATGAGCTGGCCATCAACGTAAAAAATAGTGGGACTTGGGACGGTGACTGGGGGTACTGCTTAGTAGGGTCTTTCTGTGAGATTTTTTTTTGTTTTTTATGTTCATTTTATATTTTCTAGGAAATGATTATCATCGGTGGTTGGTAACGCAAGCTAAAACCGGGGTGATAACTATGGTTATCACCATCGACATATCAGCAGTTCAGCACCTGGGGCCAAAACCTGCATTGGTGAGGGGTTCTGAACCGGTGGTGATGGCATTTTTGTAGTAGTGCATGAAGGGACTATTTGGACCGGCTTAAGGGCATTTAAATAGATTAGGGTCCCATATATGTGCAACTGCATAGCTTAGAGACGTAAAGTAGAATCATATGATAGTTTAAGACTGCCTGTGTAATTACAAGATGCAGACTACATGTTAGAGTGTCACGTCAGCTAGCTAATAGGCTTTGACGTGGCTGCTTTTAACTATGAGTGGGAATGAAATGTTATAGTTTAGAAATATAGATATGAAATGTTATAGCTTCAGAATCTAGATGACAATAACGTAATATTTTGGAGACCGCTAGTATAATTTACTACGCCAAAAATGGTGCTAATGAGAGAGCATGCTATGTGGTATGACTCAACTTACCTGTGTTACCAGCGAAGTACAGATGTCAATAAAACCACATCTTTTTTCCATTTCATCAAGCTTTCGAATTATGCACTCTGTAGTTGGTCTGTCCGCTGGGTTAGACTTAATGCATTGTAAGCCTATCTCAGCGCATAATTTTACCTGTTCCAACTGTTCGTCTCCTTGTGATACCTCAAGCCTGTTGCTCCAACTTCTAAGTAACTGTAAGAATCCAAATTAATCAGAAATTATGAAGTATATACTATGTAGCACACGCAAGTGAACCAACATACTCAACGTTAATGAGAATAGGAAACCAATATTATAAGTTGTCCGAATAGTAAGTGCTGACATTATTCCATCTAACACTACTAGGTCAGTTCAAGTGAAACATTTTTTGCTTTTTATTTACAAGCCATTAACTGATACAAGAAAAGATGTGGTGTAATTTGTAACAATTTATTCAAGGAAGTGCATGATCATTTCAAGCAAAGAAAAGACAGAAAATCAGGAAAAACATTCTAAAACTGGCCCAAGAGAATAAAAAAGAACATAGGGTTAAGGATTCATTTGGTAGACTTGAACAGAGGCTAAGCTATCCTACAATCATAAACAGAACAACCCAAAATAGCTAGACCCGACCATTTCATCGGGTTGCCTCGAACTGAAATTTTCGGTTTGCTGAATCTAGGCTTAGACCGATTTTTTGTACTCCAACCCGAGGATACCCCAAAAATAATATTGGCATGACCCAAAAATATCTGACCAACAGATCTCCGGGTCAGGTCCGAGCCTTAATTTTCAGGGTCGGGCCGTCGGCCGCAGGCCACCAAAAAAAATACATGTTTTTTTTGGCCTGACCCAACCCAACCTGACCATTCTATGCCTATGTTCAAGCCTTTGGGCGCCTACATGACTATATTATAACATTTGTCAACAAACTAATGTTACAATAAGTACAACTGTAATTTCAATAGCAGACTTTATAATTGTGCGGCAATAAACCACATTATTCAGGCTTACGTAGTTGTATATCATATATAGTTGTGTGGTTTGGGCATGCCAAGTATATATTCCTTACATTCTCAATGGCAAAGTCTTCGTTTTGTCCTGTGATCAGTATCTCAACGATTGTAACACCAAGACTGTATATGTCCAACTTTAACCTGATTACGCCTTTTTTTTGTGAGATAAATTCTGGTGCCAAATATCCCCTGCAAGGAAAAATTTATGGCATGAATTTTTAAGACTAATGAGAATAATGCATTATAATTCGTGAGTAGCCAAAAAAAAAAGACGTGCCTAGGAGATGTGCATAGCTAACTTACAATGTTCCACGCAGATTTGAAGTCATATCTTGGCTTTGATTTTCATTAAAATGCCTTGAGAGACCAAAATCAATAATTTTTGGCACCATGTCGTAATCAAACAGAATATTTTCAGGTTTGAGATCCAAATGTACAATCTTCTTCTGGAGAAGATAATGCAAACCCTGACAAATTCCCTTGACTAAAAGATAACATCTTTTCCACTCGAGTCCTTGAGATGCATATACAAATTGTGGAGCAGTTTCTTTTATGAAGGAAACAAGAAGACGCATGTTGCCAGCCTAAACAACTGTATAAACTAGCAAATAAACTTATTGTGCTCCAGCATCGCCAGAACCTTAGAGCATCGCCAACAGCTAATGGTGTTCATGCTGTTGTGGTTGTGGTGGGGAGAACAAAACAAATGGAGAGAGGACGGAAGGAGATGGTAACCAGCCAAGATCGCTTATATAATGGCATTTCATGCTGACCAGTTTCAGAAAACAAAAGGGAAGAGCATATTGTCGGAAATCCGACAGTGCAGGCAGTGGAGCAGACCACAAAGAGGGCGAGCTAAAGCTCAATTCAGATGGCGCATTTGACAGCTGTCGGAAGGACGGAGGCTGGGGTTTTGTGATCAGGGATGACCGAGGACGAGTATTGAAGTCTTGGAGCCTGCCGAGAAGATTTTCTTCGGGACGCTTTCCACGCTATGATTCTAGGCTGCCTTGCAAGTCGCAGGAGGCTGCCAATATGGGGATTTTTTTTGCAACGCTAGATTATTTTAATTTAGTTCAAGGATTGAATGGTAAATTGAAATTTTCTCTTGCAGATTTGTTAGAGCATGATGAGGAGTGGCGATATTGCAAAATTAGTGTTGTACTGTTCTTCGACTATGGATAGGTAATCTTTTAATTCTACATTAAGCAAGCTAGAGTCATCTATTTTATGATGTTCATAAGTCCTCTTTACTTTAATAATATTATGTTTTGTAATTCATATACTTATGTACCGACAAGTTACAACATTTATAGCGGTTAAAACATTTAAACAATGGACACCTCCCCCCTATACGAGTCCTAGGTACCGCAACTGTATCTATCATAATGGCAGCTTTTGTAATTTCAATGTAAAATTAGGGGTTACTTCAAATTATGTGTCATTATAGCCTATGTGGATAATTTTTTGTAGATTTAAGGGGTTACTTTATGTTGTTCTTATAATAGCATAGGCAGATCATTTTTATTTTTCTAAAAAAATCAAAAGTCTACTATTGTTATCAATAGTGATTAGAGTAAGGAATTACCCTTTCCTAGTGTGTTTTGTAAGATTCAACACAGAGGCTCCTAGAGATGCCTCCAATTAGTAGTACGATACTAGTTTATACATTAACAATAAAAACAAAAGATAAATGGAACATTAACGCAATTTCTGGATGCCTCCCGACAAGAAAATGTGTAGTGCAAAATCATCCGATATAATGGGATTTGTGGATATTCCAATATAAATAAGATGGAAAGAAACATACCAGTGATATACCTCCTAAGATTCCCATTTGGCATAAACTCAAAGCAGAGCAACCTTTGCCGTGCGTCTGCCATGACTAGCTTCCCCTCGTGGTTCCACATTTTCCCTTGCGTATCAGCACAATATCCTAGGAAACGTACTATATTTTTGTGCCTTGCCATCATCAGGCAACCAACCTCTTGGTTGAATTTGTTTTCATCCATGACCATGTCTGACAGCTTCTTCACGGCGACTGTCCTCCCATTCTGAAGTAGTCCCTGCAGTGGCAACGACATTACCCATTGATGAGCACGAACATTAGTTTTTATATCAATCAAGATCGAGATCGAGGGCTATATAGAGTTATTTATACCTTGTAGACAACTGCAAAGCCACCTCTGCCAACTTCTTGGTCGTGAGAAAAATTATTCGTGATTTCTGTTAGAAGTGATAGTGGCAGGTCTGTCGGTCCTGCACTTGGATCATCTAGCATGTGCTCCAAGAGTTTTAGCTTGTTACTAGCTTCACGATCCATTTGTAATCACATATATGCAACTGTACCATTAAAACAAGAGCGAAAATTTGATATATTGGCCATAAAGTTGATACAACAACAAGGATCTAAGTCATGTTTCTTTCCATCTGCCTCCCCCGCGCCGATTCTTGCGTGTTGCTCTCGTGTTTGCGGACGCGTGTACAAAGACGAAAGGCACATAACACTCCTATCCTGCATTGGGCCCACTGCCCCCCACATGGCCACCATCACCGACGGCGACGAGGAGGCTTGCACGTACTCATTGTCCTACATCCAACCCATGACTATATAGATATCCAAATGGGCTGGATCCATCAGACGGCCCAAGACACAGCTCAAAAAAGCATTGCTCTGTGTTGGCACGAACACTATTATAAGGTCATGCCTGGACCGCCAAGTCACGCCTTAGTGCTGCTCCAGGCACAATATAGTTGTTACTGGGCTAGGCATTACGCAGACCGTAGCCTTCCAACTGTTGGAAGAACACATACCTTCCTTAACTATTGGTAGCCCATGAAAACCCTAGCTATAAAATAATCCCTTACTTTTCTTCTACGGGTTCTCCCCACTAGACACCAACCGCCACTTCTCTAGGTTCTCCCTGCCCGATCTCGTCACTCCCGATTCCTCTCCTCACCCGATCACAGGCTCCCGCTCTAAAACAAATCGGGGTTTTAAAAATGAAATTCCGACTCTTTTGCCATCTGTGATAGTCCCAGAATACCTTCGCTGTCACGGGCATCCACTTTTCAGATGATTACAAAGTCATACAACACATCAGAGTACAAAAATTAAACCTATTACATTAATCTAGTTACAGGCCCTTTGGACTAAATCAAACAAAACACCAGAAATCTAAATCGTAGCAGCAAAGCTTGACGAGTCTACGATCCACAGGCATCGTTGAGAGTAGATCCGCAAACCAACTATCATTCACAACACCACTGCGAGGCAAGAAATCTGCACACCACCAGATGTGTGCTGGCCATGGTCAGCACCGAATCAGCTTTGGTGGAAATAGAAAATAAAGGGATCTGGTGATCCTAATAGTTTGGTTGTACTCTGCATCCTTAGCGCATGCAGCAAAGCATCAAAAGTAAGTAAAGTGTATATCTTCTCTAATCCCAAACCACAATCTCATTATCACTATCCACTCATCATCACAAGTCACCACTCATTCATTCCTCACAACACCCTCAATCTCTCAGTCTAGTCGACGAGGTGGCCTCCGCACCCCCCTCGTCTAATCGACCTCAAGCCATAATTTAGCTTCAGGGGGAGAAAAGCAAATCACAAGAGAAGCTAGTGAGCTAAACCCTGCACGTAGGTAAGTGATAATATCCGATATTGCGGCTATACGTATGACTATATAGATATCCAAATGGGCTGGATCCATCAGACGGCCCAAGACACAGCTCAAAAAAGCATGGCTTTGTGTTGGCACGAACACTATTATAAGGTCAAGCCTGGGCCACCAAGTCACGCCTTAGTACTGGTCTAGGCACAATATGGTTGTTTCTGGGCTAGGCATTATGTAGACCATAGCCTTCCAACTGTTGGATGACCACGTACCTTCCTTAACTATTGGAATTAGCCCATCAAAACCCTAGCTATAAAATAATCCCTTACTTTTCTTCTATGGGTTCTCCCCACTAGACACCAACTGCCACTTCTCTAGGTTCTCCCTGCTCGATCTCGTCACTCCCGCTTCCTCTCCTCACCCGATCACAGGCTCCCGCTCTGAAACAAATCGGGGTTTTAAAAATGAAATTCTGACTCTTTTGCCCTTCTTTGATAGTCCCAGAATACCTTAGCTGTCATGGGCATCCACTTTTCAGATGATTACAAAGTCATACAACATATCAGAGTACAAAAATTAAACCTATTACATTAATGTAGTTATAAGCCCTTTGGACTAAATCAAACAAAACACCGGAAATCTAAATTGTAGCAGCAAAGCTTGACGAGTCTTTGATCCATAGGCATCCTTGAGAGTAGATCCACAAACCAACTATCATTCACAGCACCATAGCGAGGCAAGAAATCTACACACAACTAGATGTGTGCAGGCCATGGTCAGCACCGAATGAGCTTTGGTGGAAATAGAAATAAAGGGATCTGGTGATCCTAATAGTTTGGTTGTACTTTGCATCCTTAGCACATGCAGCAAAGCATCAAAAGTAAGTAAAGTGTATATCTTCTCTAATACCAAACCACAATCTCATTATCATTATCCACTCATCATCACAAGTCACCACTCATTCATCCCTCACAACACCCTCAATCTCTCAGTCTAGTCGACGAGGCGGCCTCCGCACCCCCCTCGTCCAATGGGCCTCAAGCCGTAACTTAGCTTCGGGGGGAGAAAAGCAAAGCACAAGAGAAGCTAGTGAACTAAACCCTGCACGCAGGTAAGTGATCATATCCGATACTGCGGCTATATGTATGACTATATAGATATCCAAATGGGCTGGATCCATCAGACGGTCCAAGACACAGCTCAAAAAAGCATAGCTTTGTGTTGGCACGAACACTATTATAAGGTCATGCCTGGGCCTTCAAGTCACGCCTTAGTGCTGGTCCAGGCACAATATGGTTGTACTAGGCTAGGCATTATGTAGACCATAGCCTTCCAACTGTTGGATGACCATGTACCTTCCTTAACTATTGGAATTAGCCCATCAAAACCCTAGCTATAAAATAATCCCTTACTTTTCTTCTATGGGTTCTCCCCACTAGACACGAACCGCCACTTCTCTAGGTTCTCCCTGCCCGATCTTGTCACTCCTACTTCCTCTCCTCACCCGATCACCGGCTCCCACTCTGAAACAAATCTGGGTTTTAAAAATGAAATTCCTACTCTTTTGCCCATCTGTGATAGTCCTAGAATACCCTAGCCGTCACGGGCATCCACTTTTCAGATGATTACAAAGTCATACAACATATCAGAGTACAAAAATTAAACCTATTACATTAATCTAGTTACAAGCCCTTTGGACTAAATCAAAGAAAACACTAGAAATCTAAATCGTAGCAGCAAAGCTTGACGACTCTTCGATCCACAGGCATCCTTGAGAGTAGATCCGCAAACCAACTATCATTCACAATACCACTGCGAGGCAAGAAATCTGCACACCACCAGATGTGTGCTAGCCATGGTCAGCACCGAATGAGCTTTGGTGGAAATAGAAAATAAAGGGATCTGGTGATCCTAATAGTTTGGTTGTACTTTGCATCCTTAGCGCATGCAGCAAAGCATCAAAAGTAAGTAAAGTGTATATATTCTCTAATCCCAAACCACAATCTCATTATCACTATCCACTCATCATCACAAGTCACCACTCATTCATCCCTCACAACACCCTCAATCTCTCAGTCTAGTCGACGAGGCGGCCTCCGCACCCCCCTCGTCTAATCGGCCTCAAGCCGTAACTTAGCTTCGGGGGGAGAAAATCAAAGCACAAGAGAAGCTAGTGAGCTAAACCCTGCACGTAGGTAAGTGATCATATCCTATACTGCCGCTATTTGTATGACTATATAGATATCCAAATGGGCTGGATCCATCAGACGGCCCAAGACACAGCTCAAAAAAGCATGGCTTTGTGTTGGCACAAACACTATTATAAGGTCATGCCTGGGCCGCCAAGTCATGCCTTAGTGCTGGTCTAGACACAATATGGTTGTTTCTGGGCTAGGAGTTATGTAGACCATAGCCTTCCAACTATTGGATGACCACGTACCTTCCTTAACTATTGGAATTAGCCCATCAAAACCCTAGCTATAAAATAATCCCTTACTTTTCATCTATGGGTTCTCCCCACTAGACACCAACCGCCACTTCTCTAGGTTCTCCCTGCCCGATCTCGTCACTCCCGCTTCCTCTCCTCACCCGATCACAGGCTCCCGCTCTAAAACAAATCGGGGTTTTAAAAATGAAATTCCGACTCTTTTGGCATCTGTGATAGTCCCAGAATACCTTTGCTGTCACGGGCATCCACTTTTTAGATGATTACAAAGTCATACAACACATCAGAGTACAAAAATTAAACCTATTACATTCATCTAGTTACAAGCCCTTTGGACTAAATCAAACAAAACACTAGAAATCTAAATCATAGCGGCAAAGCTTGATGAATCTTCGATCCACAGGCATCCTTGAGAGTAGATCCGCAAAGAAACTATCATTCACAACACCACAGCGAGGCAAGAAATCTGCACACCACCAGATGCGTGCTGGCCATGGTCAGCACCGAATGAGCTTTGGTGGAAATAGAAAATAAAGGGATCTGGTGATCCTAACAATTTGGTTGTACTTTGCATCCTTAGCGCATGTAGCAAAGCATCAAAAGTAAGTAAAGTGTATATCTTCTCTAATCCCAAACCACAATCTCATTATCACTATCCACTCGTCATCACAAGTCACCACTCATTCATCCCTCACCACACCCTCAATCTCTCAGTCTAGTCGACGAGGCGGCCTCCGCACCCCCCTCGTCTAATCGGCCTCAAGCCATAACTTAGCTTCGAGGAGAGAAAAGCAAAGCACAAGAGAAGCTAGTGAGCTAAACCCTGCACATAGGTAAATGATCATATCCGATACTACGGCTATACGTATGACTATATAGATATCCAAATGGGTCGGATCCATCAGACGGCCCAAGACACAGCTCAAAAAAGCATGGCTTTGTGTTGGCATGAACATTATTATAAGGTCATGCCTAGGCCGCCAAGTCACGCCTTAGTGCTGGTCTAGGCACAATATGGTTGTTACTCGGCTAGGCATTATGTAGACCATAGCCTTCCAACTGTTGGATGACCACGTACCTTCCTTAACTATTGGAATTAGCCCATTAAAACCCTAGCTATAAAATAATCCCTTACTTTTCTTCTACTGGTTCTCCCCACTAGACACCAGCCGCCACTTCTCTAGGTTCTCCCTACCCGATCTCGTCACTCCCGCTTCCTCTCCTCACCCGATTGTAGGCTCCCGCTCTAAAACG